AAAATAGAAAGGACCAACGAGGAGTCGCACAAATGTTGTGTAAATGACAAAGAAAATAAGTAACACGAATTTGGTGTACACGACATCTGAAACAAGAGCAAACAAACTTGCGTGACGGACGGGAGAAGATCTCATCCATGCTCTCTCGAGTACTTGCACGAGGGAAGTGATATGCTACTCGCAACCATGACAAAGGTAACAGGTAATTAGAACATAATCATATCGTCTTCAAAAGAAGAAGAAAATACGATAGGAGAAAAAAGTCACAAAGCAACTCACCCTCGATATCAAACCCGTTCCACAAGCGTAATCAAGAAGTCTCACCGACCGACCGTTCGCCGCCATCGACTGTGCTGCGCTCTCGCTCTCGCTGTCATCATCATCGTCGTCGTCAATCACCCAATCTGCGCCGATGAAGTCCTTGCGCTTGCGAATCTCCTTTTCAAGCTGCAGAATAGTCTTTTCGTACTTCGTGTCGTACTCGGCAGCCAGCTTACTACTCAAGGAGTTAGTTCGTGTAAGTCAACTCTATGGGCCTCTCCTTTTGACTTCTATTTGCTTGAATATGTCCAAATGCGAAAATGCAGTTCAGAAAAGGAGGAAGAAGTTTGAACGAGGAATTCTGTCAGGGTCGAATGATATTCGGAAAAGGGGGAGGGGGTTGAGGCAAGTACACCTCAAATTGTAAGAGTCTCGAAAGGCGGGTTGTGTTTGTGATGTGTGTACATCGGCAGGAACCCGGGGACGGTATGAACGCGGACAAAATTGGATGTTACTCGGTATCATCCCGTTACGGCGTTCCTCCATCCCCCATCAAGGAAATGTGGGGGAACGACGTGTGAAAATGTAGGAATGTATACGTACTTGAAGTAAGCCTTGTTGGCGCTGGCAGTATCATTCTCAGCCATGGTTGTCGACGGGGATATATTCGGTGAATGGAACGTCGGCGGTAATTTCCCCGGGCAAATCTCGAGCTGTTGTCTCGGTGTGTAAGGTGAGGAGGTACTTGGTATACGTCCAGGGTTATCGATATCTTGGGGGGTTCGGAAATGTCGTCTTCTTTTCGTTTGTCAACCCCTCTTTGGACTTCTTCGTCTTTTGATTGGAGGAGAAAAGAGAAAGAAAAGGAAGATACAAGGGCTACTCGTCTGCAAGTGCCTTACTCAGCCGTCACAAAGTGAGTTGCAAAAAATAGCAAGACCAATATGTCAGAGTTTCTTGATCTTCAACGTGTACCGTAGCTCGCTGGATGCTGCAACCACTCGACGTTGCTTTTAATCCTTTTTCGCACGGAGAGTTTTCGGTCACTTCGTAGCTGTACTGGTAGGTCCAGGTCCGCGGAAATGATCCGGGCGGGAAGGGGTCCAGTGCCTGTACTATCTAAGGTAGGGTTAAGAAACTCGGCGATGGGAAAAAAAAAAAAAACTCCAGTCCACATAAAGGCGCCGGGAGGTTAGTCCCCGATTGGAATGATGGAAGGAACCATACACGAAAAGGAGTACCTGCCGGAGCGGGGAATGGGATAATTGTGGAGGCACCGCTACGAGAATTCACCTATCCGTCCTCCGTACACAGTACTGCGGACCATGGAGTAAGGTATTCGTACCCGGCACGGGCGGGCAGCGAGGAAGGGTGAAGTGGTGCCTGAGATTCATGGCCTTAGGTAAGGCAAGGAAAGTCCCCCGCTTTCAACAGCTTAACAGCAGCCTCTATATCACGTGACTTGATATGTGGGAGACCGGGATGGCACGGGGGCGTGGAGAATTTCGGGGTAGGTTCAGCGTTGTGGATTCCTTCTCCCCCGTCCGGTTCTGGCAGGAGTTCGGTCAAAGTACCTGAATCCAAGGCGGAGGGGGGAAGGGGGTCAGCGTGGTAAACGAAGAACGGCGAACTAATAGAGATCTGTCCCGTTCCCCCCTTCCTCTTCCTTCCCATCCCGACCCGGCCTTGCCTTGTCTTCCTAGCGAACTTGAAGGGTACCTACCTACCTTACCTCGCACCGCGTCTGGACAAGAAGGTCGTGGCCGCGGCGCTCCAGGTCTCTCGGGGAACCGGAGGAGGGAAGAAGGGGGTTGGCCTGGTGGAACCTTGACAATTGGAGTCCCCTACCTTTACGAATTCCTTACCTTGTGGAGGAGCAAAGAAGGGGACCGTCATCCTGCACGTCTGCGGCTGCCTCGTTATCCCCCCTTCCAACTTCCAAGGGCTCGCTCCCAGGAGTCAGGAGTCAGCGCTGGTAGCCATGGCACGCCGCACATCCATTGGCAAATCCACCATGGATCATGGCCGAAACCCTGGGGCCGCCGCTTTTTGCGGCGCGCCTTTCGTAGCCCACCGAAGCGACCTCGGGCGGGATGCGAAGACGCACCCGGGGCCCAAATCAGGTTACAGCCGCGGGCCCGGCAAGGAAAAGAGAGGGGGGGATGGAATGGGATGCCCGTCCGAAATACCCACTGCAAGCGTGGCAGGTTGGACGGCAGGACCTGGCTTGACTAGCATTTTCCTCTTCCGTCCTCCGTGAGTTCATGGTGCGTGGGCACGCACATGCACACTCACACACACACCAACACCCATCGCTTCGCAACCCGAGCGGCGTTACCTGCCGCCGTCGAGTCATACAGACAGGTACATGACCCGGCACTGAAAGCAACGCAGAGTGACCAGAGCTGCCTTGACAAGCCAGAACCGGCCGTAAGCATGCCTGAAGAGGTTTGTGTTCCCTTGCACCGACGAGTCGTTCATACCACAGTACCTGCTCCGTACATGATACGGCAGCGCGAAAAATAAATGTGTATCCAGCCACCAAACAAGGATTGAAAAAGCAAAGACAAACTCTGAATGAAGCCCGAGAGGCAAATGCCGGGGGAGGACAACACGGGGCGTGACCGTGACGGGGTCGACTTGACGGTGTGTGACCGACCGGGGCTGACGGGGGGCCACCGCCGGGTGTTGGGAAACAGACAGGTGCCGTGGACAGGTTTTTCTGGTGGTAAAAAAACAAGCGGATCGACGCCGATCCTGCTGCAGGCCGCATCGGTCCGCAGCTTGTGACTGCAGCACCATGCGGGCGGTGACGGGCCCAAGCGGCCATGCAGCAGCACCAAAGGTCTCAAGGTCGCACGAATATCTTCGGAGGCCGTCTAAGTGGTTCGAGCCCACCCCCTTGGGTGCTACCTGTCATGCAGCTGGCCCGAAAGAGCGCCATCAGGAGCCTGGATAGCCTGGGAGCCCGTCCTGAATGTCCCAGTCGAAGAAGGGGTGGGCGACGTGGTCCATTGTATGTATGCCCGGCTGCCTGGGGGCTGGGCGCCGATGGGTGGTGAGTGACCCAAGCCTAGGTAGATGAGCCAAAAAGAACCAAAGTACTGTACATGATGCATCGCCAATGGACGGCTACCGCAGACGGGATGGGGCGAACTTTTCTTGTTGGTCTGCAACTCTGCTGCAAGGTATCGGCGGCCACGGACGCGAGCCGGGGGAAGACATGTCAATTTGTTGTGGTGATGGGTGGTGAGCAAGCGGGGAGACGGCGGACGAGGTAAGATGGTGGGTGAGGAGCTGGTCGCCCGTATGACTACCTAGGCGAAGAGAAAATGGTAAATAAAAAAAACTAAATTGAAAAGGAAAGAAAGAAAGAAAGCAAGAAGAAGCAACCCCTCACTGCCACTCCTACCATACTGTCAGAAAGTCAGACCAAAGAAAGAAACCCTCACGACCCCTCGTCAAGCGCTTGCTTTTTGCCGTTTCGGCTGCCTTGCTGAGATGGATTGCACGCATTGAAGAGTCAGAGTCAGGGACCCCTAGAAAGAAGCCGCCCACGATGTGTGCATCCCGGAATCGTGCTCGGTATCCGTATGGGTTGTTGATTGATACGTGCTCCCATCTGCTTCCCATAGTATCCGAGTTCATTCGTACCACCGGCCGCCGCCGCTGCCGCCGCGTGGCTTGCGACGACGCAGCTGTCAGATCTGACAGGTCATCTCCGCCTCGTTTGTCGACCAACAACACTCACGGTATCGCATGACAGAATCGTCGCCTGGACCCATGAGCTGCATCCCGTAGACTGTAGTCGAGCGCGATCCCATCGAGAGCGAAGGTCAGCGAGAAGACCGACCAAGAAAGAAAGAAATCTCTCTTCCTTCTCCGATCCGAAACTCGGCTGAACGTCAATACATTGACGTGATGGCGAGTGACAACGGGCGGGTCGAGTACGGGATGAACGGACCCGAGCCGCCCAGGACGGAGCGTAGGTCAGTGCCAACACCGCAATGAGCAGGTCAGATATTCTGCTCACCGCTGCTTTGCCGCTGTGGTGCAGTGTGCCTTTCCTGCCCCAACCATCCATATGCCTGCTCCTCTTAGCCAGCCCATCCTCGTTGCCCTCCTCCGGGCTCGAGGGCCCCATATAGCTCTCCCCACCATCTCATGTAGCTGGTGTGCCGCTCACTCAGCAGTCAGCACGCTCACAGGCAGTGTAGTCCTCAGTGGGCAACGTGAATCTCGTGCAGTAGCGTGCTTGAGACGCTGCCACGTTCCTCGAATCGGCGCCCATCCATCAATGTGTTCAGTCGGCCGATGGAGGTATTCGAGTGCTCTCACACAGGGCTTCTTGCAGGCCAGTCTTTTGTAACGAGACAGTATGACACAAAATCAGGGAAAGGTCATGCTTCAAGAAAAGCTAGGAAAGTTTTCATTCGGATCGCTGGTGGACCGAAGCTGATTGCAGTCCGTTCGATACACTACACGTCCCGCGGACGGGCAGGTTAGCTTGCACGACCTTAGTGCGGCGCGTCCTGTACCTCAGCCATGGTGTGCCGCAGCGTACAATCGCCGCCGTTGAACGCGGAGCTGGCCCAGTCTGCTTCATTTACGTACCGAACGACGATACAAGGAAGGGCTGGGGACGGACTACATGCGCAGCGGGAAGTCTGTTGAGCAACCGTCACTTGTCCATCCGGCATGGATCCTAGCCTATGGTCTCGCCTTTGGGCTGCCATGTCTCATGTGGCCGAGGTCCCGTGAGAAACAGTTGATGTGGCTGGGCATCCAGAAGCAGCAGCTATGCATCTGTCTGCATGGCGATGGTCATGGACGTTGTAGCTTCTGGCATCCTGCCAGCCCACGTAGCCTGGCCCTGGGCCATCGATCAGTGGCATCGCTGGCACGCCTGACGTGCTGCTATTCGGATTGCCAGCATGGCTAACTGGGCGAGTAGCTCTGGCGGCGCACTTTGGGGGGGGGGGGGGGGGGGGGGCGCGGGGGGGGGGGGGGGGGGGGCGGGGGGGTGGGGGGGGGGTGGGGGGGGGGGGGGGGTGGGGGGGGGGGGGGGGGGGGGGGGGGGGGGGGGGGGGGGGGGGGGGAGCGCGTCCGGCGAGGGTAGTGGCCGTACGAAGCTTTTGATGGTGGAGGGTTGGCGGCCGGAATCTTGCTGGCAACAGCCCTGTTCGAGCTCATTCCTCGAAGACGCGTCTCAATCATGAAGCTTTCACCGCATTCGGCCGTCCAGCCCTCGTCCATGGTTTTGACCTCTTTCTTCGTCTGATATCCGTCGATCGGAGCCTCAGTCTATTGCTGTTCGCAATTTCCACCCCATGGGCTTGTCGCTTGACTCGACCCGGTCAAATCTCCCTGCTAATTCGATCTGGGCTGCTTTGCCAGGTTTGCCCGGTTGGCGGGCTGCGGCAGTGTCGCAGCATGTGCAGAAATATGCGTACGCACTGTGTAGACAAGTCACTTCTCCTCCCATTAAGGTCTCTGGGGCAGAGCGAACTGTGCAGAGTCTTGGTGCTATTATTCCTTGTCGCCGCCCATCCCCACTGGAAGTGATTAAGAACGGGCGGCTTGTCTCGGTAGAAGAGCTGATCGGATTGTTCCCCACGCGCCATCAAGATTCAGTCGGATGCTGAGGTGGGAGTACATGACACGTCGTCGTCGTCGCCGCGTCCATCGCAGGCGCTAGTTTGAGTGTCTACAGGTGTAATATGCTTTCGCCGCATAATGGGAATGTCTTTGATTAATCTCGGGGCGTACAAAGCACAGGGACAGAAACCCCTTGCTTCCAATCCCACCCTTGGTCTCCAAGTCGGTCGTCTGCCTTGCCACCGACCTCTCCGGTGAGAGGGGGTAAAAAATGGTCACAATGGCCCCCATCCATTACTGCACCGCTAGTCACCGTTAATGTGTCCAAAAGTCAAGCCGACAAAGCTGGGGCAGGGACCAGGTATCAAGAGAGCTGTCAAGGTCTAGGAGGTCATTTGGACCAGGATGGAAAGTTTCCATGTGCTGTATTGAAAGGAGGTCCGTGATGCTAGATCAAGCGACGAGGCTCGATCGGCCCAGCGGGTGTGCCTCGAGGTTTTCTTTTCGGACGGAATGAAGGGGTAGGCAAGGTCGTAGGTAAGGTAAAGAGAAAAGGGGGGGGAGGGGGCGGTTGTGTGAGGCACGAATATCGAAATGGTTGAGGATGCACCGTAGGGGTAGAGGTTCCACACACAATGGATTGGGAGGTGAAGTGAGTTGAGGTTTGCGTGGTTTGGTCCGGTCAAGGTCTCTGGAAAAGGAGTGTGTCAATGGGAGGGTGGTTGTCGTGGCGGGCCGTGGAGAGCCTGAGCAAGGGAATCGAAGGTAAAAAATGGGGAACGTCGCGGGAACGACGGCTGCATGCATACGCTTTTCGTCACGTGATGTCCCTAAACCCAATGTCCCCCGATCTGTCCAATGACCTTTGACAATCAGAGAACACCCCTAGCGCCACCAAAACACGATTGCCTGTTGATAGCGGCCCAGTCGCTTGGATGCTCCTCCTCGCCAGACAAGTACCGGTACCAGAAGCCAGGTAGGTGCCTTGGTAGACAGGGTAAGAAAAACGAACGAAAAAAAAGGGCGAATCCTGGGCTGAGAGACTCCCAAGGTCAGCCCATCGATTGGTTGGTTGGCTGCCGCTTGGTTGGTCTGTTAATAGAGATTTGTCGTGACGTTTTTGAGGTATCTTGGGTATCGTCAGGCTGCGACAATCACCCACCGGTCCTCGCCAGACATGGCTTTGAATCTACGTTGACAGAGTCTTTGTTGCGAAAAATGTACGCTTTCATTTCGCCCAATATCTCAAGGTGAACCCGGCCTGGGAAAGGTATGCATCATCAACAACATTACGTCTCGCTAGCCCAACCAACCGCAAGGTCAAAACGCCAGACCTGGGGGGGGGGAAAAGGTGGACTTATTCGGTGAACGCGGGCCAGCCGGCGGCAAGCGTGCATTTGGCTGACATGCAGGACGTATTGGTTGTCGAATAGTGAACCAGGCCGTTGAGATAACCGGACTGACAAGCTAGCAGCACGCCTCCCTTACCTTGTCTGGCACGAGCGTCAACAAAGTTGGGCTGGTGGCTAACATGGGACCATCTCCTGCCACACTGTCGCTTTCAAGCGAATCTCAGGGCGTGCAGACGGCGGAAGCTATCCTCGAGCGCTGCCATCATCTTCCCCGACACTGCGAGTTACGCGATACGGCTCCACGAGGCCCGGCCCGCCTCTCAAAATGGTGCTTCTCGTCCCACTTGGGATGCCTCACCACGGCACAGACTAATGTTGCCGCAACGAGCTATTCAAAAAACTTGTCGGCTGAGATTTTTCTTCCGTCTCTCTTCAAGAGCGGCGAACTACTTGCACTATTTGCTTGCTGCCAGGGCCTCGCACCGCCAAGTGAGACCGAGCAAAGTCGCGGAAAGAGCGACAATAAAACCGTTCCTGGTAATGATCATAGATCCATGTCGTTGTCGGGAAATGGACGAGCGCAATGGGGCATGGCGCTTGGATCAGGCTCAAGCAGTCCGTGGAAGAAAATGAAGTTTGGATGTGGTTTGGGAGAACTGCAATTACAAGTAAGCAAGATGGAACCAAAAACTTAAGGCAAAACTTAGCACTGTCCAATTCTTGAGACTTGAATACAGATTGCAGGCTTGAGATGGGTGAGCCTGATTATACACTTCACGTGTGGATAAACCCCTGTCTTTGTCCGTCAACGTGACTGGCGAAACCCGGCGGCACGCCCCCGTCGCCGCGTAGCCTTGGGTTTGCGTCGTCAAAGTCGACCACTGGGGCCTAGGGAGGCAGACGTCATCACCCGTCTTGTATGGATTATCAAAGTTCGAGTTGTCAGGCGGTTTGAGTTGAGAGCATGGCGTTTAGCTGGAATTGAGAGACTCGTACGTAGCGGTGTGCAATGTACTGCGCGGCTGATCGATCTCTTGTTGATTTCCAGATACTATGAATCCGCTCATTAGTGTTGATATTGGTTGTGTTACATGCACGATGTCACTGTGCTGTGATGCGATCCGCTTGGTGAGCCGATGGGTGTCTTTGCAGATTCGTTTAAAGGCGGCAAAATTGTGTAATTAAGCCACACTGGTAGCTTTCCTGACCATTTCCATGCCCACTTCGATGTAAAAGTACGACAATTAGATGAACTGTTCGTGAAACGTCTGAAGCGAGGCGAATGTTTGCTGCTGGCAAAGAAAGTCAGCAAGGTATTCGCTGTTAAGCTCTTTTTTCAATTCCTCTTCCATCACGTTTTCAACTTGGTTCTGGCAATTATAAGGTTTAAAGGCGTGAAAGGGGCCGATGAAGGTTGATGCGATACGGTGTACGGCGTACTGGCGAGACAGTGGTCAATTCGGAATCTGTGGAAGCATCTGGACCAGCAATGCCATCCGTATCAAGAGAAGGTGTGGGAAGGTTGTCCCACATCATGTTGGAGAAAACCATACATCTAACCTAAGTCACCAGCGACGAGGAATTGAACAACAGGAAGTTCCAAACCTTCTCGGAATATTTTGAGGCGGTGTCTGATGCAATGCCAATGCTGATTAGTCAATAGACCACCATCGTGGGCTGGCGATTGAACCGCCAGTGTTGGAATTCATTCTACATGCGACGGCGTGGAACCCCTGCTATGTCATTCAACGGTCAGTCTGGTAATAGTCATCGGTCCCTGCAGGCCGAAATCGCCGTGGTGATGCTCCGTGTTGGGAGCGTAAACCAAACGAGGCAGGACAAAATCTTGGAATATTGGCTGTAAGCGGATTTTCAGACCGAACAGGCAAGCTGAGGGTTGTACCATGCGTGTTGGTGAGATACCTGGTCTCGCGCCACACAGGAATGACATGACGCTGCAGCTGTAATCGAACTGGGTTAGGAGCAGATGCAAGTGCATCCCAGCAGAGGACGTATTACTGCATCAAGCAGACCTCCCTTTGTAGTTCTGCAACCTGCCCAGAGGTGGTGCACAGACATGAAGGCATTGGTCTCGCGGTGAGATAGATTGCCGTAGGGCCATCCGTATTGGCGAAGGTGATGGATATGCGGGATATGTACGACGAAACGGCAGAAACGGGAGTATCCTTTAGGGAGCGGGCGGCGCGGCGTTGCATGGTCGGCAGCCCCCGGTCCTTGCGCAAGCCCCCGGTTCCCTTTGCGTTAGCGTGACTAGGGGTAGGACCAAGTGAACCCCAATCTCGTCCGCTCTCTCGCTTGCTCGCCAGTCCTCGGGATCCCCTGGCGGTACATCATCGGAACTGTCCATCAAGCCAGTGCAGCCTGCCATGAATTGATTTGAAACCGGAGTGCTGGAGGTAGCGGATAGAAAGATCTGACGGGCGCGATTCATCAACGCTACTTGATCTAAGGTGCGTCGAGAGCTGCGCAAGACAAAGGGAGGCGGAGGCGGGGCTGTCTCTGCCCGACCCATGAAGTCGGTACGAAGTATCTGTTTGTACCGGGTACACGAAGACTGTGGGTACCGGCAAGCTCCTAAGAAGAACCCATGAGCCCGGTGGAACTGGGGGGTAGCCCCTCCCGCCAGAATGGACCGCTAAGAACGGAAAAAGAAAGTCTGACAGGCGATTGGGTCTGCCTTAGTCGCCCATGGCCCGACGACGGCGCTGTCAGCACAAGCCTCTGGGACTGGACCGAATCCAGCTGCTGGTGCTGTTGCCGGTGGGGGTGTGGACGGGCGTCGCGTTATCGCTTTGTGTCTCTGGGGCAGCCGACAGGGCGCACATCGGACAAGTTGATCAGTCAAGTGATCATCCGTAGGTGTGGGTGGGTAGCGGGAGAACAAAGGCAGGTTCTTCACCAATATTTGTCCAATTGACGCGATGCGTCGCTCTCTGGAATCGGGGTCGGAAACGCAGTCGCACCATCTTCACGTCTCGTACTGGTAGGAATTGGTTGCAGGAATGTTTGCACCGCCAGTAGTGGAGGATGCGCGGCTGCTTCGAGTTCGTCATTGTCGACCGTGATCAAACCATGCCCAGAGGATGAGACTCTCTTGGTGAGGGGGAGAAGGCGGCACGGGCGGGTGTTCTGTTTCGCACGCGCGCGCTGCAGGGTATGCTTAAACCCACCGAGGAGCAGTACTTGCCCACGTCTGATCATCGTAGATCTGTTGGAAACCGTACCTTGGTTGGTTAAGAACGCCAGGTCTAGTGCCTGCTGGGCTCTGACAGAGTGCTGGGTTGCGTGCAGATGGGATGAATAGGTAGGTAATTTATCCGTAGGCGTGCGCGGTGAGTGGGCTGCAGGTTTGGTGCGCTGGATGGCATCGTGTCGGTCGCCCGTCATGCCAGAGTAAAGGCTTCCCAACATCAGACCGTATTTAGCGGGTCTGCTAGCCGGTAGTTGGCGGACGGATAGTCGGCGTTCCATCAGCTCGGTTCGCGTCAAGAGAATGACGCCGGAGGCGATAGTTTGAACAGTTGCGCCACAATCATAGCGGCGGAACGGGTGCAAGACATGACATTGGCCTGGCATGGCAGGGTAGGTTGACAGGAGTGTCGAATGATTGGCGAATGGCGCGCAGGCACTGGTAGGGTGTTACCGCCGGTACGGAGCAGGAAGCCATTTCTGATGCGGCTGGTCTGCGGGCAGGCTGAGTGATGGGTCAGGACATAGGACTCGAGAATGGGTGGTGAAAGAAGATTGGAAGAACGTGCGCCGATTTGCTCCCGCAGACCAGCGGAATTGAGAGTGTAGCTCGTGAGCCCCCCTGTCACAGCGTGTTGGACCAAGGATGTCGGCTTCGCATTCAAATAACTCGTCGATGGGTCACAGCCGAGCTCCAGATGGGGTAAAATGGCAAGACCCAATCATTGGTGGTACCGGGGCTGCTTCGGTCGACCCAGAATTGGGGCATCGCGGCCGCGTGGTAGTTTTGCGTTTGTCGGAGGGGCAGAGGGGCGGAGTGAGGGAGAAATTGAGGGGCACGAAGAAGCGTCGTCCGGAGTATGGCCTTGAGGTTGATCGAAGTGAGTGTGGAGGGGGATCGGAGGAATGGCGCAGCCCAGTGCCAAAGAAATGGTGTTAGAGGGGAAGAGAATATCGATGCTCACCGATCTAGATGCAATGACGCAGGGCAGGACCTTGAGGTGGGAAAAGCAAGATGAGTAAGGATTCCCTGGAAGGCTGGAACAACCGTTGAGACAGGGACTGGACACAACGGGCGGCGATGAGGATGGCCCGATGAGAGCCCTGGAGGATGATGGATAAGAAGCTGAGAAAGTTAAAGCGACGTGATCTAATGTGGAGGAGGGGGAGGGGAAGATGGAAGAAGGAGCCTCAGAGGAGGGTGGGAGGGATCTCTCTCACCAAAACGTGTAGGGGGGAAAACGGAAGGAGGGAAGGGGGGAGAAAAGGACAAAAAAAAGGAAAGGGAAACAGGGACCCCAAGGCAAATTTCACCACTGCCCAATCGCCTATTCGCTGAGAAGACGGGGCCAGCTCCGAAGAAGACGGGCAAAGAACCCCGATCGACGCGACGCTCCCGCCTTCACCCAGTCCTATGGGAAGGTACCCTACCTGTCACGCCTGCGCCCGGTATCTGGGCAGGTACCAACGGCTTTTTGCCTTGTCCTCCTACCTTCCCTTGTTGTGCGCCTTAATCGATGAACGGAAGGAGCTCACGATGCGGAAAAGAGTTTCATGATTCGTGGTACCTGACCTTAATTGAGGCGATCGCGCTATCCAAGTCGCTTATTTGGAAGGCGAGGATGGCAGCAATGTCTACCAAGGTATGTGCCCAGTGATGCACACCTACCTTACCTGCCTTGCCTTACCTTGCCTTCTATTCACCGTCCCGGCCACGGAATACTCCGACTAGCCATGCGCCCGCGCCTGTTTGATTTGATGATGATCCTCTCCGAGTTCCTGGGATGACCCGAACTTGAAGGTCCTGACGGATAGTAAGGTACTTACGTTATGTATCCGTGTCTCATTCTTCTTTCTTGGATGGTAAGGTAGGCGGGTACTTTAGGCAGGCACGTTGAGCATGCACCGACTCATCCGCCGTGTTCCTTCCCTTCCCGAGATCTGGCAATGAAGAGGAGACCCGCCGCATTCAATTTCGATTCACAGGCAGGCTCATCATGGAAGGCACCAACCTATCCGAGGACGAAGGCAGGTAAATAAGAAGGCAACTCCAAGGCTCCTTCTAGTTGGTCGATACCAGAGGAGGGCAAGCACCTCCCCAGGTCTTTCTTGTCCGAGTCTGCCAAGGTACCTGTCCTACTTCTCCTCCGACTCAGTCTAGAGATGCCTTGCGCATGTGTCGGGGAGAACTAATATCTCGCATCCATCTCCAATGTCAACGCTTTCTCTTCCACTACGACGATATCTGACCGCCGAAACTCATCTCACCTCAGTACCAGATAGCTGTTGCTCGCCTTCTTGATTGGTACTTAACAAGTGTCGTGGGTTTGGCCAATTTCTCTCGCACACCAGCACCATGCCCCGCCCCGCCTTCTATCGTGGCTATAATATCGTCAAAACCTCACAAGTCAGCAGGGCCCGACGGACCAGGCTGATCCTTGCACATCAAAGCCAAGTGCCAAAACCGTTGACGCGCTCTCGGCCGACATGGTGCTGGCCACAAGCACATGGCATCGCTGTGGGAGTTCCCGCCCGTCCCATCTGCTTCACGTATCACCCCTTCAAGGCCTCAACCCCGCTGTGTATCATGCACCAGGTCACACCGTCACACACTTTACACACTTTAGCGTCGCATCGATTTCATCTGTTCAGACACATGGACAAACAGACAGGGTATCCCGACCGCCTTTAACTTCAACTTTACCAACCACACCAACTGTGACGGAACAGCAGGGGATCACCTGTGGGTTGGCCCGGATGTGATGGGACGGGACACTGGTGGACGCACTCGCTAGCCCCCAAACATCAAATGCCACTGTGCGCAACCACGAGGCACGGCAACATACCCTTTGGGAACATCGAGCCACAGCTATCGCGGCTCGCCGTCTTCTTTATGGTTGCCCACAATCGACATATCCACCTCTTCAATTCGTTTCGCGACTTGCCGCCAAGGTTAACAGACCGATCGAGCGAGCAGGACGAGAAGAATGGAAGTGGGCGGACGTTCGTCAGCAGCAACTCGGCTAGCAGGTACGCCAAACATGCCGTGCCCGTCCTGTCCAGATTTCCTACCTGCCCGTCAAAATAACAGATGTTTCGATCTCTAGGAGATCGCTTTGAAGTGCGGAATGATACACAGGCTGGCTGCCATTCCTCGACAATTTATAAAACCATGTGGTGAGTCCGCGCACGCCAGGGCTATATTTGAACATGATGCCAATGCTAATACCTCATTTAGCCTGCTTGCTTCCTGGTAACGCACTTCATTGGCCCATGTTCGACGTGATTCAGAGCAAACTGGAGATTTCGGGCGAGCAAGACAGTGAGCCCAGTTGGGGAGCGCAGAGCCGTTCCCGTACCAGTGGCGTAAGTGTTCCCAAGAGCCCGTTATCCTGGGAGCCTTTGGGCCATTCCACGTCGGCCGCGCGGTTCCACACACTCTATACCTGCTCCACCAGGACTTGGGGTAGGAACAGCTTTCGCTGTCAGATTACCGCCAGTTCCCGTCCCAGTTCTGGGTCACCGACCAGCCCGGAAGAGCGACCACAAGTGCGGGCACACCAGCCAGGGCAGACAGAGCAGGGGGGCTGGCAGGCATCATGATGGGGGGGACATGGCTCCATCCGCACGCGGCCTGGAAGCAACACGGGCCCAGACAAGAGCTCAGGAGAGGGTACCCGGGCGGCATCTCAGTGGTGCAGGATGGGTGCCCTGGCCCATTACCCCCTGGGCTTACTGAGGGGCGAACCTGCTGACCGGCCCATCATCATCCATTGCCATGATATTCGCCGGAAGCTTGCAGAGCAGTGGGCCAAACGGGCATTGATCAATCCAAAGAAACAGAGCCAGCCGAGAGCTGAAGACAAGGTCAACGACAAACGCGCATCATTACGACAGCGTCAGCCAACGAGAACAGTTAAAGAAGAGAGTTCTGCCAAGGGCACGGTCTTGATGCGAACATGATCCGCCGATTAATCTGTCGAGCTGTACTCCGTACTGTGCAAGTTCGGCCAACAGCTCGCTGATTATCGTCATTGGTGTGGAGGCATGGCATTTGTCTCCCAAGTAGTCGTCAGCAGCAACAACTTCTGACAACAGACGACTCTGTCAATCGATCCACCAGGCTGAGAAGAAGAAATTCTCCCCTTTGGACGAAGCACAGTACGAAATTGAAAACGACTATCGATCATTCACGTTGGCAAGTACATTTGCGCCGTTGCACAGTGATCCTTGGACAGGATAAGGACAAGCGATCACTGGTAGACGCAAATTGGGGCCCACCCTTTCGAGAATCTCACAACAGTCGCAAATTGGCTATCTCGGACCAAGGCAAAGGACATTAGAGATTTGCGACATCGCTCGGTCGCTTGACTCTGGAAAATAACCAGAAGGTATTCGATCGCGAATGGCGCGGTATCCTTTTTTTTTCTTTCTTCTTTCTTTTTACCTTCCTCCTGGCATCATCGATCATCGAACTCCAGCTATTCTTCTTTCAGCCTTGGCGTCTTTGGCCAGAAATTGCTTCTTCCGGCTCAGTTTGGGCACCTCGCACTATTGAATCAGACACCACGCCGAGGCCTACTGAAGCTTGCCGTTTCTTTCCCTAGGTAATCATGAGCCATACAAAAGAGTATGATTATCAACAACGCCCCTGACGAGAGGAACAAATCGAGTGCAACGGTTTCTGTTTGGCTCCTACAGCCGAACGCGGGCCATCGCGCGACCTGCCGAAAGATAAGGTAGGCTTCAGCCATTCACGGCCGAAGCGACGATGCAGTCTGGCAGAGCGAGTTCAGCACCCTGGACTCGATTTTGCTACAACTCAACAACTTTTTGCTATGGAATATTGGGCGTCGAACGGTCATCCTAGCCCACCTCATCGCACTGAATCGGAACGCTCCTGGTTGGCTTAATTCTCAGTCATTCGTTGATAAAGGACTCGATAAAATACGCCGTCTGGTATATGTGAAACCCGATTACCGCAGATTTCCCGCCCGGGTTACTGTGGAGTTGATGATGCCGACAAGGGCATGATGGTTTGAGTGGTTTTGGGGTTTCGGGAGCCTGGCATACCACTACGCTCACAGTTCACTTGTCGTAGAGCGCTAGCTGCCACTCGTTTGGCAGAAGAAGCCCAGGATGCATACCACCTTACACATGGATTCCTCAGCGTCTCAGCCCACCTGAGTGGACGGGGGTTCGTTCCGATCGAGACCCGTTGGTTGATCTATTCCGTTGCTGCCCACAAACAAGCATGGAGCGGCGAGGCGCAGGGAGAAGACATCACAGGACCACGAAGCGCTGTGACGCAGGCTCACGCAGCTAGCAGCCAGGCAGGGATTTGTTACCAGTGCTGCTGCTGCTACTGCTGTGGTGGTGGTACCCGTACGGAGACTCAGTACATACCTACCCTACTCGACATTGCAGTCCCCTTGTATACGTACCGATCACAATCAGCCACGGATACGTCTGCGCAACAACAGTGTTGTTGTGGTCATCGCGTCTGCATACTCACATCTCAATCAGTCTCTGACTCTCTACGGATGCAGAGTACCATCACCCCAACCGCAACATCGCGACCCGCGTCCTCCAGGCCCATCCCACTGGATCCGGTCTTCCAACGTCAGCTGGGCCGTGCCTTGAGACGCGACTCAACGCGTTCGTATGACCGTACCCGAAATTGGGATGCCCAGTCGACTTTGCATCAAACTGGGTTCTTTTTTATTGCATAAAATGAGAGCTCCCCTGGGTTCCTCCCAGGTTTGCCCTGTGCCTTTGCCTCCGCACCGCCGTTATCATTCGTACACTCTACTGCGACGGAGTTCACGGGCTTCGAGGCAACGAGACCCCGGCTACGGCACCCAGAAGCTCGCCTCCCGTCGGCGTTCCACGGCAAGATCCGCAACACGGAGAAACGCGGGCATGCCAAGGTTTGCCCGTCCGCGCGTGTGCTGCGGTCCTCCCGCGAAACCCGTGAGAGTTGGGCAGCTGTTCTGCTTTATGACTGGACTGACTTTGCCTGACATTTCCGCTCAACCTAGTCTCCTCGACCTTTAAGTACGGCTACGTGATTCCTTAAGCTCGGTCCGGTCATGCTTGCCGTCAGTCTAGCAAAATGCGTGGCCACTGCGGCTCAGTATTGAGCCCACGCTACGTATACAGACTCATTTCACGCCCACTGCAAGTGCAGTAGCTGGTGACAAACAGCCCTCAGCCAGGCTAAGACTGTTGCGTCAGAGGTTTTTTACTGCGTGGGCGTACAGAGATCGAGCATCACAAAGACTTAGACGAGGCGAGAGGAGCGTCCCGCGCTGAGACACCTCCTAGAAATACAAGACACCAGGATCTAATTTGCGTGGTAGGAACAGAGACCCTACCAAGGCAACAGATGGGATGCGTGGACTGGCATTCCAACCCTCGTGTCCTCTCCACAGAACAACACCCTAGATTCAATGTCGCGCAGAAGATTTCGTCGCACCTTGTCATTTCGACTTAAGACAACCATCACAGCTCCACAATGTATGTAGTAGGGCAGTTTCTCGTCTTTGATGGCATGAAACAGATCATTTGCATTTCATCTGAAGCCAAGATGAATGTACGAATGAGGTACTCTCGGATGATGCTGACTCCCAGTTCCAAGCAGGCAGGCAGGGTAGGGGTGGCGGAGGCACCGCAGGTGTCAGACAATGGCGCACACAGCAGCAGCCAGCGACTGATTTTGGGCAGCTTCTTCGGCCAGGATCGGTATCCGAGGTGCTGCTGTATCCTCCCCTCGACTAGTCGTGGCTGGTCTTCAAACAGCAAGCCAAAATATCCGCACACACACACACACACACACACACTGCTCGCCTTGCCTGCGGCCAGATCTGCGACCGCCGCCCGGGCTGGTGGGTTCAGACACGGGATTAGACGCGGCCAGTCAAGCCAAGGCGCACGTTTTCCCTGTTTGGTGCGGCACTCCACATCTTCCACCACTTTCTTCCACGTCGCCGGCCCACGGACAACACCGGCGAGGGCCGTACCTAAGATACCCTGTACTGCCAGCCGCCAATAGGGCAGACCCAGAACTGGGGGCGCGAGCTACCGAGGGAGGGCTGTACGAGTCAACCTGGACTACAGTTAAGCCAAAGGAAGTAAGGGGCATGCGAATGAACAAATGGAGTTACGACATTCGGAAATGGTAACTCAGTCGATGTTCTTGAGGCAGAGAAATTCGACACTCTGAGCCACTGCACTGTTTGTTCTGCCTATCTATCGGAGTCCTCGAGGCTACGGCCCCTTGTTCGATATGTGACGAAAGGCGATTCCATCCCACAGCGTGCACCAACAGTGGCTGCCCAGACGAGGCACAGCCTGCTGTACTACTATCAGCGACCTGGATAGGAAAAGGCTTTCAGCAACATAGATACAACGGAACCCGCCTTCGCGACACGGAGTGCCAGTTTGCCATTGCATACGGATACACCAAGCCCGATTTCAATAATACATGCTTGTACGCTGTTTTTCGAGATGGCTCCTTGCAAAATATCTCCCCGTTTTGACCACCCTCTGACCATCTGCCCACCCATGACGGACAGAGCACACGGTCTAACTCGGACAACACCCGAAGTTTTAGGCCCTGGGCGACGGAGCATTACTTCAGAGTGAAGTGACAACAGACTCGCGGCAACGAATCTGAATCACCAGAGCGGCCAATTCGACGGACCCTTACCTTCTTGTGCTAATTGATCTTCCAAGCCACGAAGACCTGGGCCTGCGGTCCCAGTACGAGCCGCCGACCGCAGGTACGCAGCCGATCCTTTGTTTTGTTACTCTTGATACGTTTTTGCCGGAACCCCAGACTGCGCTCCTTCTTTGTCACGAGGTCATCCGAATTCAACGATCCGGCGCGAGCCGGAGCCATGCTAGGTATGACGAAGGAGGAAGAAGGGGGGCGGGGGGCGGAGCGCCATCCGTCGTTCTCTCGGGTACCCAAGTGATAGCATTGACGGCGAGGGCCCGCAATAACCGTCATGGCTCAGAAGTATTTCCCACCACCGGTGGGCAAACAAAATGGCTATTGGGTTTGGAGAGACGAGGGACTCTTCT